ACCAAAACGGCGTGCACTTTTTCGACATCGCAACTTCCAAAAGTGGTCCGACAATGGTGTGTTTTGCACATTTTGACTTCGAAATGTGCTTCGCGCCACAACGGCGTGCACTTTTTCGACATCGCAACTTCCAAAAGTGGTCCGAACCTGGTGTGCTTTGTACATTTTGACTTGGAAATGTGCTTCGCGCCACAACGGCGTGCACTTTTTCGACATCTCAACTTCCAAAAGTGGTCCGAGAATGGGGTGTTTTGTACATTTTGACTTGGAAATGTGCTTCGCGCCACAACGGCGTGCACTTTTTCGACATCGCAACTTCCAAAAGTGGTCCGACCATGGTGTGCTTTGTACATTTTGACTTCGAAATGTGCTTCGCGCCACAACGGCGTGCAACTTTTCATCTCTCATCTCGTCAGCTGGCTCCGCACCCGCCGCTTTAGCGAGCCTACTTTTCGACCCTCCGGAGCCACACATCTCCATCTTCTTTCTTCTTGCTCTTTCTCTTCTACTCTTCTTTCTTCTTTCTTCTTGCTCTTTCTCTTCTACTCTTCTTTCTTCTAATCTTTCTCTTCTCTCTTCCTCTTCCCTGCTCTGCTTTTCATCTGTCCATATTGTCGGAAGTTTGACTTCTAAACTTCCTTCGATAATATACTATATAATATGTGTGTGTGTGCATATATGACCTGTACTACAAGTAGTATCCAATGCTCGCTGAAAAGACCCACCGGGCACCCCAGCACCAGAGCTCATGGAAGCCTTGGCTGTAAACTTGCTAGCCATTTTGTCTTGAACCATCTTTTGCGAAACCTTTCGGCTGCTATTTCCTATAACAATCCCATTCCATGTATAATTTCTATTTGTTTGTGCATGTGTCGGTCTATTTACTGATTTGCTGTAGTGGTAGTGTAGCCTATTAATTACACAGCAGCCAAGGAGCAGCACTTCGGCTACCTGGCACGACACGAATAGCACGCACAAGACTCCCGCTATTGCCGTTCAAAACAATGTGTGTGAGCTTCGGCTTCAAATTGATTCAAACATTGTTATAACTACACAAAAACCCTCAATCAAACATGGAACCTGAAAAACTGATGATTTTCCTATTGGATATTATAAAATAATATTGAATGAATAAAATTGTATAAACATGTTGGGGGCGTCCATATTAAATTTAGGTGGCGCATATCTCATTTCTCTCCATTGCCCTCCAGAGTTCAGCATATCTCATTATCCATGCCAGTTGTTTGCAAAAATGTGGTGCTGTACGTCCTGTTGCTGTGCCTGAGCTTTGCAATCTCGTGGTAGTCTCCGACGCGCCCGAGCTGTTCCGATCAAAGGACCTCATAGTTTTGCCAAAATCCAGGTCCCATTCGCCATGCAAATGGCATGGCATGACATATTCACCTCTGGTCCTATGTGGTGCAGCAAGAATTCTCGACTAAACTAAACATACAAAAAAAAAATATGGAATTGCAACAAAAGAGAGGTCGACTGTGGAGAAAAGGCCGAGAAAAACCAAGCGTTTACAAGAGTCTAAGAAAGAGAACCGAATTAGTTTGCTTTTGTGTTTGTTATTGTTCTCCGTGTTTCCAATGTTTTTGCTGCTTCTTGGTCACTGCTCTTTGGGGGGTGGTGTTTTCGCATTGTTTCAAGGAGTTCTTCAATTTTATTCAATTTTCACCTTCGTGGAAAAGGAAAAACACTGAGAAAACAAAAAGACAAAAACCAAACGATGCTTAAAAGAGAAAAACATGTGTTTGCCTTTGTTTTCGTTTGTTTCTCCCTTCCTGTTGTATTGATTTACCAATATCCAGTTGAAACTTGCAAAAGCATCTTAATTCGAGTAGTTCCAACAACTTCAAGGATGTTTAACCATTTGCAGGTGGTAAAATGGAACATGTTTCATGGATTCGGTCCTCAGGACCAGTGCTCGAAGCATCCACATAATTGCAATCAATAACTCACCACCTATGGCCCTAGGTGCTCTACACATTCGTGATCGCCAATGTACATCAACAATCATCAACATATATTTCCATGGTCCATGTCTATCTCAATGTCTTCTACATCAATATCTATATCTAGATCATATCTAGATCATATCTAGATCATATATGATCATATCATATTCAGAATACAGGTGTGAAGCTTTGGACTGGGGACTCGGACTGATCGTTGCCCCAACCACGCAGCCGAGCCACGGCAGCAGGAGTTGATGCAAGGTACTGACGCTTTGTTTCACGTGGCGTTGGGTGTGATGTGCCAGGGTCGCTGCAGAAATAAACCTATCTTCAAAGGGATGGTCATCCAACATCATCCAACTATCATGGAGTTTTCCCCCAGTTTTCTGGACAAAAATACGTGCGCTGTTTGCCACAGGTCCATGACAGGATGACAATAATAAATATTCACAAATATAGAGCATGTCCAACCGTTGACCCCTCATGTCCAACAGCCAAGCACCTTGGCGGCATGGTCCCAGGGAGATCCTGTCAACAGCTGATCCACAACTGATATGTCCTACTGACCGGGATTTGACCTGTGTGATCATGTTGACTCGAGAGGTTTAAGCTCATTGAAATTGCTCCTAGTACAGCATCATATTATAGAGTTTTTGGATGTTTTAGGCCTCATTCTTGACCTGTGGTCCAGATTTATCCAGGGCCCAGCGTTGTTCAGCATGACCAACAGTGGTCATGACACAGAAAGCGTTGTTCCAGGACTTCTCAATGATAGGTGGCTCTAAATGCTTATCATCAAAAAACAAGTCCAAAAGCAATCTGCATCCAGCCATCACGTGAAAAAAGTACCAACCTCCAACCAAAAATGGTTTCAGCGAGGTTTCGTCCAACCCACCATGTTTGAATCGCGCTCCGTTACGTGGGCCTAAATGGGATCAAGAAAGTTGATTCACCGTGCTTTACCTCTTGGCGGGGCATCTTGTCAAGAGGTGAACAACAATCCTGTATTGATTGCTTTTTTGGAAAAAATGTGAGCCAAACCAAACATACTAAACATATCTAAACATTTGCATTATTCATTTGCCCAAAATTGGAGATCCTCTCAACAAATCTGCCCTTTTTGGTCCCGCTCGGATCCCGCTCCGGATCCCGCTGGACCTTCATCCACCCAAAACGCATCGACATCTTCGCCGAGGGCGTCGAGGCGCAAAGCCTGCTGAGCCATGGTGGGCCATGATGGGTTCCACCCTGTGCCGCAATATGCCGCAATGATAGTCTGCTGTTGATCAATGACATGCTGCTGTTGATTTGTTGATTAAATTGATTTGTATTGAAGATTATTAAAGGCTGTTGATTGTAGTCAGTTTCCCTAGTGGTCAATCCCCGAGAACACATGAGAACACAGTTCTGTGATATCCGATCTCGGGCATGTTGTTTGCTGAGCCGCCTTTTTGGGCCAATTAAGAATGCAACCGCTTCACACGGTCTTGTGCCTGTCCAGCACAGGCGCAACATGCGCAACTGAAGCCGCCAGGATCGACTTAGTCGATGCTGCAGGTTCATCTGGCTGAGAAGTGGCTGCATGAGATTAAGAAGTATAAGAACATATCACAAAGATTCACAAAGTATCTCGAAGCTGACCACAGCCCAGTTCCTGCAGCCTCGTCCATGCTTCAGTGTAGTCCTCAAAGAAGGCCTGCTGATCGTTGGCATAGCGTGTCACATGCTCCTTGAATTTGGGATCGTCAACCAAGGCCATGTCGGTGGGGAGCATTGTGGTCTTGCCATTCTTGTACTGCTTCTTGCCGGACTTAGTTGTCTCAAGGGTCCATGTCTTGTTCAGCAGGTCCTTGAAGTAGGAGTTGTCAAATTTCAATTTGTCCTCAGTCCATGGGCCTTCAAAGCCAGATCGCTCTGAATGGCATGCTCCCACAGTATGCGCACCGGACAAAGCCACAATGTCTTTGTCTGTGAAGCCCTTGAGATGGAAAATGTCACGAAGATGTTGTGCATCTTTGTCACCATCAGGAAGTCTGCCTTCTGCAGATTGAACCCCCTGGTCATGTGTCTTCACATCAAAGCGGCCGAAGTGGGTTGGAATCTCCGGGCCTCCCATGGCCTGGATGGCTACATTGGCAGCCAAGGCCCATAGGTCAGCATGAGATATGAGGCTGGGCACATACTTCTCTGCAATTTGTTGAAGCAACGGGATGGCCACTTGGGGCAACCCACTGTTGGCCCCAAGACTATGTTCACCTCCACCCTGCAATCGCAGGGCAGCGTTGGGGCAGCCGTCTTTGCCATTGAAGACGCCAGCATCAGAAAAGGACAAACGGATCATGATGGGACCACAACCTTTGGCAAGAATCAACTTCGCAAGATCAGCCACCAAATGTCCATAGGTCAAACATTTGCACACGGTAAGCTCAAGAATGGCGTCCGCCTTGCACCTCTCTAACATCAGAGCCACGTTGCCTCGGACCCCATTCACCTCAACAACCGAGTCACCTCGGTTCATCTTCCTGGACGGGTTGTCCTTGTTCCATTGCTCTGCAAGTCCTCCCTTGATCTCAAGAATTGGTAAAACACCACGCTCAGCCATATAGTCGACATCCAGTCCCAACTTCTGTCCCCCTGATTTTACCAAGTTCACCTTGTACATGCGTTCCTCAACGGTGTTGCCACCTGACACTGCTGGCACTTCAATTAACGTCTTGAGGGTGCCTGCAGCAGGCCACGTTTCCAAGGTCGGCATTGCTTCAGCCTCATCTGGACTTGTGTCTACTGACTTGCAACACTGAGAATTGCCCATCAGGATGACACCCTATCTGGGTGTGAGTCTGACAGCAAGGCACATAAAAAGCGTATATACAAGCAGACTCGAGCCAAGAGATGGCCCTGCAGAGTGCGGAGTTGAATGGCCGCGGGCACCAGCACATGCTGCCCTTTCATCCAAGGTGTCTTAAGTACTGCAGGATACTGCCGGCCTTTTGGGGATGACTTGTGAAAGTCATGAAGGACTTCCCAAACACGACACGCCAATCATCCAAACTCTTAGCAGGTTGTCCTCAACAGCCCAGGCATCAGAGTCAGCATGATTCCTCAAAGCCGGGGCATGGATGGATCATGTTGGATCACCTGACTGTTGGATGCATGGTGTTCAAACATGAGCAAATCCCATCAAACTGGAAAAATGTGTTTGTATCGAGAAATTGGTGGCACAAGATTGTAATGGTTCGGCGTGACCACGCCTAGCAAAGCCATGGATTGGAGAAAAATGATCCGACTTTTACTACGTTTTAGATACGTTTAGTCCCTTTAGTGGAGGTCTAGGGGCACAACTCCCCAACGAGTCCCAACTATGCACCTGGAAATGATCAGTTTATGGTTTTGCGAACAAACTTGAGGATCCCAAAAAGGCACCAAAATACTCTATATAGCCCTCTCTTTCGAAAGGTGCGAGGAACAAAAAGGTTGGCTCCCTAAGGGTGAAAATCTACAAACCCAAGGTGCAGCAGTTTCTAAAACTAAGTGTGACCTGCAAAAAATAGTTTTATTTGTATCTATATATATATACTAGATATATATATATATATGTTTCATCTATGTATATATACGTGCACGTCTTATTGTTGTATAATATATGTGTGTGTTATATATATATACATATTTATATAACATACAGTAACATACATTACTAAATTCAGCAGCCTCGACCGGCTTTGAGAGCCCGGCCGACGGCGGGCATAGTCTGACAGGAAGGCCAGCAAGTCCTGGATCCATCTGGGATGGTACTGACCATCTATTACAATATTGGGGATGGGGTCGGGATGTTTTTTTTTGGGGTGTGCCACATTGCAGCATGTTGTTGAAGTAAGATGTGTCAGGTGTCCAAAATGCTGGGAGCTGATTGGAAATCCACATCCCAAGCCATTTCTTGGTTTCCTTTCCTAAGTCGGATGTTTTTTGGGACATGCCATGCGGATGACACACCCTGCCTCTCTCGCCAGCTCCTCACCTTGAGGCGACATAACCCGAAAATTCCGAAAAGACGATGAAAAGACATCTTGGATGTAACAGTCTGCACCCACACTGGATTCATATATACATATACATATACATATACATATACATATATATATATATACGTATGGTTTTATATGGATCTATAATCTATAATGATTTATATATATATGGATTTTTATGGATTTCCAGGATCTAGAACTGTGGATACCTGTGGGAGCTTGTGAGTCTCACTCATTGGATTCTCAAATTTCCGAGGGCCTCCTGGTCCACTTCCCTTGCTGGGGTCAGCACAGCCCAGCCAGGGGTCTTCTGCCTAGAAAGGATGCTATCATGTTAAACCCATGGTTCCACACCCAAATCCAAAACTTGTATAATCCTATCACAGTAAGATCATGTAAGAGCAGGTTTGGCAGGGGTTGCGGGGGTCCCTGATTGAGGGACTACAGCACTAATGTTGGATGCTGATTAGTGTCATGGGACCCTATTGTAAGTTTTTTCTTTAAAAATTGATGAGTATCCTGCAAATGACGGGGGTGGGCCTCTATCGTGATATGTTTTTCTCAGATCCAATTTTTTCAGGAGGAAAAAATTCGGTCCAAGAAAAAATACCCTTCTTTATTGGCACACCTGCCCCTCCCAGCCTAGGCAGCAAGCACACCGACGACGACGACGACGACGACGACAATAACCACAATAACCACAATAACAACCACAATAACAACCACAATAACAACCACAATAACAACCACAATAACAACCACAATAACAACCACAATAACAACCACAATAACAACCACAATAACAACCACAATAACAACCACAATAACAACCACAATAACAACCACAATAACAACCACAATAACAACCACAATAACAACCACAATACAACCACAATAACAACCACAATAACAACCACAATAACAACCACAATAACAACCACAATAACAACCACAATAACAACCACAATAACAACCACAATAACAACCACAATAACAACAACAACAACAGCAACAACAACAGCAGCAGCAACAACAACAACAACAACATTCTCACTTGGAAAAACCATGTCCATTTTAGATCCTTAAAGTGCAAGGCCCCCTCCCCAAACAAACCCTTATTGAGGAACAGCACCCAAACAATTTTTCAAGAGGGGTGAGCGACCCAGATCCTCAACAATATAATTGGTTGGATGGTACCCAGTTGTGCATACAAAATGTTGGGGAGAAAAAAAAACTATCCACCTTTCTTTGGTAAAGCTGGTCCATTTACTTTAGAACGCCATATCCATGTTTAATCCTTAAAATGCAAGGTTCCCCAAATACTTATTATATAATTATATGCCTTATTAAGACCCTTGTTGAAAAACAGCAGCCAAATAATTTGTCAAGGGGGTACCCCATGAGTGACTCAGATCTTCAATAGTAGGTTTGTTTTGGGGGCGGCATTGTGTCCGACTATTTTTCTTGGGTGGAAACGTTCAAACTTGCTTTTACTAAAGCTTTTCTCTCTTAGTTACTCGGTTCCATCTTCTTCTCCTAAGGTTTCTATGCGATTTCGATAGGAATTCCATGATATGTCTTGATGATTTCTATGCAATTTCAATTGGATTTCTATGATACTCCTCTGTGTTTTCTACATGCTTTCTATAGTTTTTCCTATATGTGTTCTATATGGTTTCTCTGATATTTCTGCGGAATTTCTATGCAAATTATGTTGGGATTTCTATGCGATTTCCATGGGATTCCTATGGGATTTCTGTGTGATTTCTATGTGTTTGCTATGATATTTCTATGTAATTTCTAAGGCAGTTCTATGATATTTCTATAAGATTTCTATGTGTTTTCTGTGTGATGTCTATGGAATTTCTATGGAATTTCTGTGAGATTCCTGTGGGATTTCTATGGTATTTTTTGGTGATTTCTATGCAATTTCTATGGGGGTCCTCTGTGTTTCCAATGCGTTTTCAATGATATTCCTAAGGGATTTCTATGCAATTTCTATTGGTTCTTTATGGGATGTCTATAGAATTTCTATGATATGTCTATGATATTTCAAAAGGATGTCTATGCAGTTTCTATGGCAGTTCTATGATAGTTCTACAAGATTTCTATGGTGGTTCTGTGGGATTTCTGTGGGGTTCCGATGAGGTTTCTCTATATATATATATGTGATATATGATATATGGAATTATATATGGGATTTCTTTGTGGGTTTGAAACGACTTCCTTTCGGGTTATAAAGGGAAATGAATTGAAAGCAAATGTAGATGAATTTGATATCCTTACTTGTCCTTAGATGTCTTTTGGTTATGAAGGAAAATGAATTGAAAGTAAGTTTATATATGTGAATTGAAATCTTTACTAATCCTTAGATATTTTAAGGTTTGAAAGGAAAGTCAATTGGAAGTAAATTGATATCAATTGAAATCCATTCTTGTCCAACCAATTGAAAGCAGATTGAATGCAACTGAAATCATTTCTTATCAATATATTTCTTCAAAGTGGAAGAAGGAAAAGCAATTGAAAGTAGATTGATTTCAATAGAAATCATTTCTTATCAATAGATTTCTTTAAGGTTTAAAGGGAAAAGCAATTGAAAGTAAATTGATTTCAATTGAAAACGTTTCTTATCAATATATTTCTTTAGGGGTTAAATGAAATCCATTGAAAGTAGATTGGCATCAATCGCAATCCGTACGAATCTTCATTGTTTAAGATTTAAAAGGAAAATCAATTGAAAGTAGATTGGCATCAATTGAAATTGAAATCCTTACTTAAGTTGATCATCCTGAGTTCCCCAGACCTGGTCCCCAGGAAATGCCGAGTTATTGAAATTGAGTATACTCAAACTGTTTTGGGTGGGGCCTACACTAATCAGTCACCAACATTATCGGATAGTATCAGCAGCAAACAAATGGTTTCCCAAATTTCCCAAGTAAAAGGCGAGTCAGGTTCCCGCACACATCAATCCCGGACTCGAATCCACAGCCTTAACTCATCAACATCAACGTCACCAGGATTTTCTCCCGAACTCTGCCCTTGTGCCCCGTCTCTCTAGCAGGCTTCGCATCACCGAAAAAGCTCGCAACACGCTCGACCTTCAAAAATGTGCGAAAGGCCTGCTGAGCAGATCCCCGTTGGGTACAGAATGAATAAAAATGAATAAAAATGGTTGATAGGTCCCCCAAAAAGGCAGGATTGCTCGAATGACCTATGTGATCATGATGTTGAGTTGGATTGGATTGGCTTGGTCTGTATGATTTGGCCTTCCATCTTCCAGCATCTCTGCAGTTCAGGATCATGTTAAATGTTGAAAAACTTGCTGGCCTGCCAACCCTTCGGGAATCCAATTTGTTTACGCTGGCTGGCTGCAACTTCCAGGCTCTAGGCACGGAAGCTACAGCCTGCCATGGTTCAAAGCTTGGTTTGCAGCTTGGCTGACCAAAATCCTTGGGCCAGCCGCCGAGACTCCTCATCTCAGCGACTTTATGAAGCAAATATCTCCCCAGTCGCCGCTGAAAATCCACTGAGATGGGTATATATTGACTGGAGAAATCATGGAGAATCCAGGGGAACCACCTGATGATAGCGAAGAGAAGATTACAATTACAAAGTAAATATTGAGAAAGCCTGACTCAATTGATGTAACTGACGATCACGACAAAACCTTGAGCATGGAGCAGCCAGGGAGATGATTTGGCAGGAACCACCTGCTCACACATCCAGGGTCCCTGCGATCTTACACTGGAGCTTGGATGGCAGCATGTGGATGGATCATTGCTGGCGACTGTGGCCGTGCCCCACAGCCAAACTCTCGATTATCTGGATGATTTCTTGACCTTGACGTTCTGCGCCTTTGAACCTGGAGTGAGTGATCGTTACAATTTGTGGCCTTTGTTTAAGGCTAATGTGTTTGAATCTTTAAAAAATGCTTAATATGTTTGAATTGGGTCTTTACGCATTCCTAGGCAGCCCAAGATCCAACATATTTCATGAAACTTGGAGGGATCTTGTCGCTGATCCGAATCCGGCCATTCTCCAACGGGCCTTCGACATCCAGCAAAAACCTAAAAACCAGTTGACAACCATTAAGGAATTTTAAGGAATTTTAAGCTTGGTCTTGTCTTGGCTGTCATCGACGCCATTGGAGTAGTGAGGAAAGCAAACCTCCAGGGAGGCCCCGACAAGGATGCCCAAAAACATCCGAACACAACCTACAATTCTTCGGCCATGACTGATGACTGGTAAATCAATCCCTTCCATATGTCTCAGGGATGGGGGCCTCCAGGTCTGCGTCGGTCACTGGCCAGTCACTCCGCGAATTCAGCACCAGCATCACCTCATGTGAAGGTGGATGCTCCTTGTGCCAATCTCCTGGACAAATGGCTTGGCAGATGGCTTTGCCTGGGAGAAACGCCATACACGCGCGCCCGATAATTCACCGCAGGGCTCGGGGGTGGATAGCCACCAGTTACCCCGATGGATCTGGGCTGGTAGCTGCTTCCCTGTATCAATCCTTGGCAAGGGCGGCACAGAGAGCTCCCCAAAAAAATCTGCAGCTATCAGTTCTTTAAAGGAGGGGGATGTGAACACCGCCTCTGGAAATGTGGTTCTCTGCTTCTGTTCGTCAGCTCAGGACTCAGGGGCCAAGTTGGGCCAAGACTCCTTGTGGCACCATCATCGTTGGAGGTGTAGACACTGGCACGGAGTGCCGCGCAGTGGATGCGAGCCAGGGTGGCAGCTTTTTTGATGGAGTAGGTGTGCCTAAGCCCATGAGCTACATGGGCTGCATGTGCTCAGCAGGCTGGGGCACTCAGAGATCCGATATCGCAACTGTCAACAAAAAAGTTGGGAGAAGAAACGGCCCCCAGGGCTATATCGAAAGATCTGAGAACTTATGCATGGTTGACACCCAGGAAGGGAACATGACAAAGTGTGCCCTTGGGGTTTGCCTGTTAAAGTCAGCCACTCAAATGGAAGCAAGAAGTCTGGATGCCACCAAGGGTTGGGGCTGTTGGATGTCTCTGCTTGTTATCCCAAAATTCTCGCTGACACTTGAATGTGAGCATATGATTGACGGTTCAGAAACTTCAAATTTTCTTTCTCCAATTTCCACCAAACATCCTCATCCACATACATCCGCCAAACTCACCCAGTTATCCGGTTATCCCTCCAAAATTCCTCCCTTTTCTTCTCCGAGCGCATCCAGAGGTCCAGGGCACTGATAGCTGGGGCGGTGGCGATGTAGGCAGCTCCGATAGCACCATTGGCATCGCTCAGGGTGTTGTCCTCCTCAATGGGCTGCAAGGCTGCGCCATCCGTCTCGACCGAGGAGGTTTGGGTGGAGATCCTAGGACAACGGGAAGACCGCTTCAGGAAGGGATTTAGGTCGTTTTAGGTGAATCATACATGTGCAAAAAAAAATGTGTGAATGGGTTGACCAATAAAAATAACAATGAATAATATACATAAAAATTGATAGGAAGAAAGAAAGAAAGAAAGAAAGAAAAAATGAAAGAAAGAATGAAAGAAAGAATGCAAGAATGAAAGAATGAATGCATGCATGGATGGATGAATGGATGAATGGATGAATGGATGAATGGGTGAATGGATGAAAGGGTGAATGGATGAATGGATGAATTCATGAATGGATGGATAAAGAGATAAATTCACGAATAAATGAATGGATGAATGAATGGATGAATGAATGAATGAATGAATGAATGAATGATTCGCCGACCGACCGACCGACCGAATGAATGAATGAAGGAAGGAATGAATGAATGAATGAATGGAATGAATGAATGAATGAATGAATGAATGAATGGAATGAATGGATGAATGGAAGGAAGGAAGGAAGGAATGAATGAATGAATGAAATAACTTTCAGGAATAAGGGAAGGCTTCGATTGATCTATTTCACCTGGCATATATTGCGGGATAGTGGCCTAGCCACAATTTGGCAGCTTCAGACATGACCTAGTCTGGCAGCTTAGCCTTGGAAATCTCTGGCGGCTCAATACCCATCCGCAGCATTTGCCAGGGATCTGTGATTGAAGCTCGCATATTACACGATCTTTCTCGATGATCTGGTACTGCACCTTAATTAGGTTGTGGACACAACAATGCACCAACCACGGGTGGTGTGAACATTTATTGACTATAGCGGGATTGGTTGGAAACTGGAGTTCTAAAGTGACCTTTCACAGCTGGAAACTATCCTACAGGTGGAAAGTTCACAAGGAGTAGACATTGCCTAAGCTGGTATCCCAAAAGAGGGAGCATGAATCCTAAAACACCCTCGTCCAGGAGATCGTTGACTTCGCCGCACGAGACTATTGTGAATTGGCTAGCTCCATCGACAAGGCACTGCCTGCCGTTTCGACAGTTCATCAGCTAGTTGCTGCTGCAAACTGCAGACCTCCCTCTCCTGGTGGAACTGGCGGAATGGGCAAACCAAAACGCCACTGCGGTGATTCACCTCCCACCGCTCTGCCTACATTGATCTACAGCCATATTGCATCGCCATCTGCCAGCCATTGCCATCCCTGACGCTTCAACCGCGCCTTCTCAATGACCTGTTCCTGCACAGCTTGTTGAGCTGATAACCTGTCCAGCCGCTCTAGCCACGTGCCATCGGGCCATTCCCAAGTAGAATACATAGTCACGGGTGTTTAATGATGTTGATGTTCAGCAAAATTACCACCCAAGTAAAAAGGGAGAAAAAAACACGCAGATTCGGTTTGATTCAAGACATGACCACCTTCAGCCTGGCATAGCCAGCCCTGCAACGCGCCTATCCATGGGCTCCTCCCTGTTCCATGTGTCTTTCAGGAGCCTCTCCTGATCAAGCTGTTAGGCCACTTGTGATGCCCTTCCAGGAAAAAACAGCCAAAAAAAAAAAACCTTCTTTCTTCATAGGACCTAGGAACTCACCTAGAAATGTTTTTCATGGAGATCGATAAAGAGTGAATTCCACATAATTCCAGCGATTTTTTTCTGGGGTTATCTAAAGAAAGCTGACCCAAAATCCAATGGTGGCAACGGCCACCACGGCCACCTTCTCCACGAGCTGCTTTTGGGCCGCCTGCCAGAGGATGTGTTGCCAACATTTGCCAACATGTCTTTTACTGTACATTCTTTTACCATAAATGGATTATGGATGTCAGCCAGCTCAGCCAACATACTCAAATATCTTAAATTGATGTGCAGCTATGAGTATATATATATATATGTGTGTGTGTGTATGTGTGGGTAGAAAAAATGTGAAAAGTATAATTCATGAAATTGAGCACACATCTGGACTCACAACGATTCATGACATTCCACGCCTGTCGTTGCGACAGCTCCTCGGCCAGCTGTCGCTGCAATTCCACGACTTGAGACTCCTGCGTGGCCACGGGTAATCAGGGCTTAGCTGTGCCATTAAGTGGTGAGCTGAATTGATGGCAAAATCGTAGAATAAATTGAACAGATCCTGAAAACCAATGAACATCCCTACTTAAGGATTCCTTTACTTGGTGGTGGTATACAACACATGACAAGCGATGAATTGAATACATGCCATGGAATGCAGAAACTCATTGGCAGCATTTGTTTGACCCAAGTGCCTTTGCGGAGAGACGAGTCAACCTAATGGCTGCAAGAAGGAGAACCCTGCGGTGTGTGTCTGCAATGGTGGCAGCATACAGAATCAAACAACGAACTAAGCACGTCCATACTGTAACTGACCAACCAAACCAGCCAACAAACCAGAAGAAGACAAGTCACAACACACCACAACGCTCAAAGATGTCATGGCTCAATATGTATGTCCTTTCATTGCAGTATGTCCAGGGAACCACACTGTATTTTTCAAGAACCGGAGCAAGTTGCTCATAATCGCAATGCCCCACAGCATCCCATGGCCGACACACAGGACAAGTAGCACTTCGCTTTTGTCCAGTTTGGAATCTCGCAAGTCTGCCTCATATTGCTGGAGCCTCTGTTCTCTTGCGGCTCGTTCCTCCAATTCTGCACACAAGTCCGATCACAAAGTGTGTTCCATGGCAAGTACCACCCAAGAAGAATGCCATTTAGCTGGGGTAGTGTGTCAAGCTCGAAGAATCACTTCATGACACTAGAGTTTACTGAGCCTACAATGGATTCTTATCTGGCTATGCTAAGGTCTTTGGGTCCCATCAACAATTGCCTACATTTTTTTCAATGAAATCTTGGACACTACACCAGCCCACCAGCCCGATTTGTACGGGTTCTCAGGGCGTCCTTCTCCTCGTTTCCAAGGCGTTCACGTAGATGCCGCAACTGTCCGTCCCGATCTGCAACAAGACTCTCTGTCTCGCGTCGCTTTTTCTCCTGCAAGCTGACACAAAAGGCAGATCATGAAAAATCTACTAATCTAGGCCATGTTTCTCCCACAACAGCAGGCCACACACACACACACAAGTTTGATTAAATTTGATCACACATCCCAGCAAATTTCTACAAAACTGTCAGTTCAGCTCCATCACCGGTCCTCGGTGTTCAAGCGGTCCTGCAACTCTGCAATGACCTGCGGGGAAATAATGCTGCCACGACAAGCTTTGGACCTGCTAGGATCTGCTGTGCTGGGATTCTGGCCACGTCTTCACCCACAGAGGAGGGATCGGATGTCAGACGTTGAAATAGTTCCTGGAGGTTGCACCAGGCATCACCAGGCATCACCAAACAGCACCAAACCCAGAAGCAATTGTCACTAATTGTCACGCTAGTCTTCCAAATGTTCCATTTCGTCACTTTTCGAGGGATCTGCATCTGTCCTCAAAGATATAACATGAAATTAACATGATATAACATCTCCTTGCACCGGGGGCGGGAAACGAGCCTGCAGCCGTTCCTTTTCGGCGAGCTGTAGCTGAAGTAATGGATCAGCCTGGCCCATGAGGCCCGGTTTCAACTCCTGGAATGCGATACAAAGTTTTTGTGGTTCTGATCTTTTTATATCTTTTTCACAGTGACAGGGATGGGATGGGATTTGAGAAACCACCAGGTCACCAGCCTATGAATGCAATAGATGCATTGAACAAACAATGTATGAATGCCCGAACAAACAACAGCGGGCGAGTCTCTTGACGCTCTCCACTGATTTGGTGACTGATCGAGTCTGATCAAACAGCGGATTGCAAGCACCTTCTCGGCTCGTGCTTCTGCCAACCTCATCACCAATCGTTATTCGACCAGGTGGTGACGTTGTCAGTGTCTCTCTATGCAAGTATTGGTCATGGCATACCACCATGCAACACGCCAGGATCCATCAAGACACATCTGAAGGATGCACGAAGCATCATGAACCATCATGAACCATCATGAACCGCAACCAACCCGTGGAAGGTCTTCGGTGGAATCTCCGCACAGGCCAAGCCGCTGGATCTCCAACTGCTCCAACTTGGCCCTTTGCATTTTTTCCCGAACTTCGGCATCCTGACACAGCTGAAGCTGAAGCTCCGAAACGTTCCAACTCTTTCCATTCAAGTTTAGGCTGTTACAATGGCTCAAAACATCTCGAAAACCAACAGCTGTACCAGTTCACAATAACAGCCAGCTGTGGAATCTGCTTCTCCTCTCGTTTCTGCTGCTCATTTGCATAATCTTCACGCAAGCGTTGGAGCTCCTGGGCCATGGACATGATGCCACAGACAAACAAAGCCAGACCGAACACCTGCTGCATCGATACGGCCTGATATATAGTATAATATAGTTGCGTATATCATCGTGTATCTATAGATGTTCATATGCATATAATATACGTACATATATATATATATATGCACACTATGTGACTATGATATAGTCACACGTAGATACATATAGCAACATCCCTGAGTGTGCAAAGCAACTCCACCGCAAAAGAATGAAATGAATGGAAGCATCTGAAGCAGGTCTGAAACTATCGCTTCACAACCAACATCGACTTTGCTAGTTCCCTTGGTGCTCCATCAAAATCAACCCATGGGTTTCCCATCAGAAGATGGGGTCCATTCGCATCCCTCCTGGGATTTTTCGATGTCCATTGTCCTTGGCAGGTCCAACTCATGCGGCGAATGTGCTTTGCCACGGCTAGAGTGCTCTCAATGGCTCTTGATGTTGGGTTTCAAATTTGCATGTTAGCTTCAGAGACTATGTGGCTACAGTATTTAGCGTGGAGGCCACACAGAAATTGAAAACCCAAAGTCTTGGCCCTCGACTGCGTGGATTGAGCAGCCAGCTTTTGCCGCAGCTCTGCATTGTCTTTGGCAAGCCTGCATTAATAAGTGAGCAGCGTTCAAACCCTCTGTCACTTTATGCTTCCCATAAACCGCAGAGGCTAATAACCAGTCATCATTCTCTAAAACCTTGATTGAGATGCATTACCAATATTGCAACTATTTCTCTTCTATATATATATATATGTGTGTGTAATATATATATGTGTATATATATATATATCTGTGATATGTATATATATATATATATCTGTGCGTGTGTGTGCCCAACCACTTATAGCCATTATCCATATATAACCAATCGACCCAGGCTTGTGGCTTGGCCTCTCAGCACGAATGCCCTCCTCAGTGGCCAGCTTCTCAGCAGCTTCCTGGCCCCGCAGCTTGGCAGCAGAGTAACACATTCTTTCAGCCCATGATACCTCCACAATGACGCCTGCATATGGATGGATGGATGGATGGATGGATGGATTGATAGATTGATTGATTGATGTGATGCGTGTGGCCAAAAATCCCTAGCAGGATCCATTTTCCCGTGGAAAAAGCTAGGTCCTCAGCTAAGTCAAACTTGGGGGCCCCTCAATTGGCTAATGGTCAAGTCCCATTGGTGCGATGTTCATGGGGTGGTTGATGTTCATCCCATACCAATTTTGCCGTATTTTACCGCAAAACTGGTACCCACCAGCCACTCAGGGGCTGCCTTCTGTCGTTTCACTTCAGAAAGTGCCAGCACCAACCTGAAGCTCGCGCCTACCCAGTCCTTGTGCAATCAATAGGAATTGGCTACAGGATTTGACCGACAAGGGCTACTATAAGTAAAAATAGTTTTAGAAAATGGGAATCAAACCATAACAACATGGGATAACATGGGATACATCAGGATAAGGAAAGTTTTTTCCGTTTAGCGTCTTTTGAACATCATCATCCTCAGCCAATTATCCTCACTTCGCGTGGCCTGCGTGGCGGATTGTATTTCAAGTCGGAATAAATCCACACTAGTTTCAAAGCGAACCAGCTGATCCGCGATCCGCCATTGTGATTCACATGAAACCTGTCAGGAGTCTAAGGGGAGCGGGTTGCAGCAGCTAGTCAAGAGGAAAAACGGTTGTCCTTGTGTTGTATATTGTATACCAAACAACCCACTATGAAGTTTCAAGAAAAGTTGGTTTCGGTGGCCAAGCGCGGTGCCATCAAATGGGTTTCTGGTGGCCTTGGCCTATGGAATCCAAGTGACTTCTTCACCTTCTCAGTCTCCTGCAGCGGAATCTGCTGGCCCCAAGAGTGGTAAATCAAACAGCACCGGAGTCCCAATTGCGTGGGCCAATGCACCTTGAGATTGGCGTGACCAGATTGCATGCCGAAGCATCAACAAATATCAACAATGTTGGTGCATCATGGTGCATCAATCTCTCTTCCCCCCCTCTCTCTCTCTCTCTCTCTCTCTCTCGCATTTGTTCTGCGGTGAAAGCTTTTGCAACCCATCGATGTCTTTTTAACCTGTAGAATGGATATCATGCCAAATCCATAGGCTCAAAGTTGCAAACATTTATTGACTCGTTCTGCTTGTCACTAATTAAGTTATGTTTCTACAACAAATAAGCTGAGCCTGTCCTCTGCTTCCTGCTTTTGATACAAGACCTAAGTGTCAGAAAGTTTGTGGGACTGCTTGCTCCATCTCAGCACTGCTGTAACACTGCTATGGCAGCTATCCAGCACAATTTCATCTGTGCGACAACATGCCTGTCAAGGCCAAGAAACTGTTTCCAAAGTGCTCAGCCTGTTCTGCTCTTTCTCCGACACTTTTGCTTGCTGCTCAATGACACCTGGAAGCAGCTCAAACATGCTCAAACGGTCGAGTTGCGATCAAGGAAAGAACATCGAGCGTATCAAGCCTGTTGGACCATGACTCAAACCGTGACATACCTTGGTCATTTCTATATTGTAAGTCCATAATCTGCTGAAATCTGGCACCCCTTTGCCATCCTCTGCATGACCATATGAACTGGTGCAATTGTCACTGGCTACCTTTTTGGGAAGCTCTTCCAAGTCAATGAATGCTGATGGTCTACGTACTCAAACTGTTAACCTGGTTGTTTCTTGTTTCGAATGGTTTGGGCAGGTCACTCTCAAGTTTGGCCATGAGCTTCTGCATCTGCACGATCTCCTCATCCTTCTGCATCAGTTTTCTCCGCTCCTGCACTGACGCGCCACTGATCCCCACTGACACCTCCCGGTCCACAACAGCAACAGTTTTTTGAGTTCAGGAACGGTCTGCAAAGTTGGCGATCCCCACTGTTTATGCGTACAAAGAGTCTTCAAACATCAGATTTGCCAACTTTGGAGACAACCCCAGCCGTAAACCACTTCCTTTTTTGAGTACAGGAAAATCCTCCGCACCGTCCCAACAAACATGCGCACAAAAATCACATTGTTCCACTGCTAGTAGTGAAAAGTGGGTATGTGCCAAAAGTTTGATACCCTTCTGTTCACATAAAATAGCTGGTATATAGCTTAGCTGGATATAGCTGCTAAATGGATCTAAATGGGGGTTCATCCTTCCAAAATACGGTACGTCACGGTATTTCAATGAGTGTTCATAAGGTTTTGATCCATATGATCATAGACTTGGATGATGGGAAAATTTACAGGAAAGCCCTATATTTGACGGGAAAAACCATGGTTTCCTGTAGATTTTCCCTTAAACCAATCCATTGATATGATCCATTTTGATCCATCCTCGGCCAGTGAAGCTTCGAGGTGGGCCATCCGTGCTTCGCCGGTGAGGTTCTCAGCACCTACCGGGGATGGTTTCTACCAGCCATTGGTAAAGGGGATAGCTATGGATAGCTTATGATTCATGATTGGGTTTATTGTGGTTTATTACATCAAGGTTTTCTTCAGGGCTGAGGAGGGAAAATTTAACAAGGGTTTATGACGTTGTTGTTATTTGAAAGTCATCGTTTCAAAAGGTGTGTTAAATCCCCCTGATGCATGGGTGATCATACAAGGCACAAAATCAAAGGACGTGCTACCGCTACCAACATGGACAAAATATAGACATGTTTGGAAATGCATGGGAGAAATCAAATGTCTTGTGTCAAAAAATACGGAAAAGGACATCGCTGTCAAGTACCCACCAAATGTCTTTCCCGTGCCATGGGCCTCCATCAGTAGTTTCACTTCCCCAAAGCCCTTGGTTGCAGCAACTCAATAGAGATTGCTATGCCAGGTCTTTCGAACTTTAAACTTCCAAGCTCCCCATTGCCGGAAATCGACGGAAATGACGCTATATCATCTTTGTGAGCTCCATTCCTTCTAGTCTATGTCTATCCACTCTGTTTCATTTCAAACAGCAAGCAAGATCCATGCCAAAAACCAAAAACAACAAGGGTAGATGTTCATAGATTCATAACAATCAAACAAATACCATAAAATATCTGAATTAAAACGTCATTTAGATAATTAGTGTGGCAAATCTTGTCTCCATGCTGCTCATCAACCCTGGGGCACCAAAGGACACCGCCAAGCGGCTGTTTAAGGCCAAGCTCCGCATACTGCCTTACTTTGCTATCACTTTTGTCAGCGCAGTGCCCCGCAACGAAAAAAAATGTCTTTGGAATCAGCCAATAAGTCTTGAATAAGATAAGTAGTGAATATATCCGTCCGTGGTGTGTCGCTGCTGGTGACATCACTTCATCGCCAAGCTGCTGAACTTCGATCAAGTCGAATCTAAGGGGGATCGGCCGACAGGACAATAGGAGCGGCTGGGAACACTTCTGCGTTTTTGCACGCGATATTCGTTTGATCCTGTGAGTTCCGATATTTGACAGGTGGTACGGCTGCAGTTGCCAGGGCTTAAGAGCTGGGGCAAATGGCATATAACATCAATTAACATCATATAACCACTGTTGGTTCTGATTGTGTTGTGCAAGAGGTGTCATCCTACGGCATGGGAGCAATCGGAACTGCGGAGCGAGCATTGCTCAATGCATTTCAGGTAGGACCTTTCTGACCACCTGGAAGATCCTGGAAGTAATGCAATCTCATAAAGCATAGCAAAGCATCTTCCCCAGTCTTCATGCCTCTGCATTCACTGGAGACGTTTCTCTGAACCTCACAGTTGTCAAGCTGTTATCCATGTAGTATCATGTACAGTAGATGGTTTTTGGCGAGTGGATGAGTTTGGTTGATGTCATGAACATGTGTGTGTGTGTTTATCCACTGATCTATCTGTTGATCATCTCATTCATCCATTCCAATCCAATCCAACCCAATCCAATTCACTGATTCATGCCTTCTTTGGTATGGGAAACCTCCGGTTTGGGAAACATCCTAAAGCATTGGAACAGAAATCCAGTAAGCCCAGTGGCGTGTCGACGCAAGAGCTGCGACCTGGCCCAGCGGATCTATAGGTCTAGTCTAACCAGATGAACTGAATATCAAGAACACCTAACGACCTAACACGGGGCATTGAAAGAAATGCTGCATTGAAGCAGCAAAAGCCAATAAAAGCCATGTAGATAGATCACAAAAAATATTAAAATGATTCGCCTCACTCTTGGGACCAAGTAAGGGGTTGGATAATCATGATATATAAATCAGCACCAGACGGCCATTTGTCCCAACCCGCCAAAGTCAATGGGTCGCTGTGGATCCAATGCGTGTGCTGTGGAAGGACGTGCTTCAACATCCCTTGGCCTGCAAAACCATAACTTTCATGGATAGATTGTGAGTGTCCAAGAATCTATCCGAACAACGCCCCACTTCAAGAACACTACTTTGCCAAGATTTGCTAAGTGTTCTTGGCGTTGATCAGGAAAGAAATTCTCTAACTCAAACCTGCCAAATAGACGTGCCTCACGGATGTTCAGCTTTCCCTCCCTCAGATCCACTCGGGGGGCCAGTTCTGGCCATCATTGTGGCAGATCAAAAAAAACTAACCCCTTCAAGGAGGCTGACTGGCGCAGGAAAACGGCAAAGATGGGGGCCCCATGGGGCTACCAAACTTAACACAGCGTGACAGTTCCATTCAGTGCACCGCATGTAGTGTAAGAAAACCACTTCCCAGCTGATAGACCTTTGGGGCATAGTCTCTGCCAGCAGCCAGAAACGGATAAAGTACGGCTCTCCTCCCTTCGGGAAAGAGCACGGATGGCGCTAAGTCGAGAGCGGACACGAATTGCAAATGGCCACGGAGCAAGCAACAATTTGAAGGAATGTTTTGTGATCTTTCTCAAATTACCACAGTTTACTGTCCGCACTCTGTTGGTTTAAATTGCACGGTGCCATTCCCAACAAGCAGTTCCACGGTTGGTCTAGTGGTCATTAACTCTGAGGTAAAGGGGCAACAACCTTGGACCAGGACAGCGTGAGGTCCCAAAAATATCATTTTTTTTTTGAATTCCCAAAGCGACCAGAAATCATACAAAGCCGGGGATCATATGGGACATACGGATACGCCAGAAGCGTATGTCCATACGTACAAGGATGAATCACAGAGCGCACGTGACAACGGACAGATTCGAGATTCGAGATCAGAGATCCGAGATTTGAGATTCGAAGTCCGACATTCGAAATTCGAGTTTTGAGATCTGTGACTCGAAATTCAGTATCCGAGATCCGCGGATAGGAGAAATACAGCATGCCTTGCTTGAAGAGTATCCGGAAGGAGGTCCACACGCAACATATCGCAACATGATTTTCCTTTCCAATTCCATTTCCTTCTTCTTCTACTTCCAGTCCATTCACTTCAATTCAGTCCATTGCGTTCCACTGCGCTCCCACTGCTTTAGTCTATGCCATTGTGCTTTATTCCACTAGTTTCAGACTCTCCTTCTTTCCACTTCACGGTTCTTGTCCATCACTTCAGTTCAGTCCACTACAGTTCAGTCACCTCATTCCATTTCATTTCATACAATCCTACTTACTGAATAGTACCGCACAAGGCGGTGGTTGAAGTTTCAAAGATAGGAAAGGAAACGTATAGGAAGAGTTGGTTTGTTGAGCGGTACGGACTGCGGAGCAAGCCGCTGACGGAGCGACAGATGGTTGGAGCATCGGACGCTGGAGTGCGTGCATTTCTCACTGGGTGCACAACTGCTGGACCTACGGACTGGACTTTCTCTCCTTATCTTGTAGATCCGATCTATCTATGTATCTGTCCATCATTGTCTATCTAGCTAGCTATCTGTCTTTCTATCTGCCTGTCGTCTATATATTATCCATCTGTTTATCTATCTGTCTATCTCCTCGTCGATCTATTTATCTATCTATCAACAGACCAACAGACAGACAGACAGACAGACAGACAAATAGATAGGTCGATAAGTCGAAAGGTCAATAGGTAGATCGGTAGATCGGTAGATAGATGGATAGGTAGACAGGTAGATAGGTATATCGGTAGATCGATAGATGGATAAATAGATAAAACAAATAGATAGATAAATAGATAGATAGATAGATAGATGGATGGATAGATAGATAGATAGATAGGTAGAAAGACAGATAGACAGAGAGATAGAGAGATAGATTAGATTAGATTAGACTAGATTATATAGATTAGATTAGATTCGATTCGATTCGATTAGGTTAGGTTAGCTTAGCTTAGATTAGCTTAGCTTAGCTTGGCTTAGCTTAGCTTAGATTAGATTAGATTAGACTAGACTAGATTAGATTAGATTAGATTTAGATTAGATTAAATTAGATTAGATAGATGAGATAGATGAGATAGATGAGATGGATGAGATGAATGAGATAGATGAGATAGATGAGATATTTGAAGATAGATAGGACATTAGAAGATAGATAGGACACTAGAAGATAGATAAGATATTAGAAGATAGATAAGATATTAGAAGATAGATAAGTTAAGTTATTAGAAGATAGATAAGATATTAGAAGATAGACAAGATATTAGAAGATAGATAGGACATTAGAAGATAGATAGGACATTAGAAGATAGATAGGATATTAGAAGATGGATAAGATATTAGAAGATAGATAAGATATTAGAAGATAGATAAGATATTAGAAGATAGATAAGTTATTAGAAGATAGATAAGATATTAGAAGATAGAAAAGCTATTAGAAGATAGATAAGATATTAGAAGATAGATAAGTTATTAGAAGATAGATAAGTTATTAGAAGATAGACAATATACTAGAAGATAGATAAGTTATTAGAAGATAGATAAGATATTAGAAGATAGACAAGATAGATAAGAAGATAGATAAGAAGATAGATAAGAAGATAGATAAGAAGATAGATAAGAAGATAGATAAGAAGATAGATAAGAAGATAGATAAGAAGATAGATAAGAAGATAGATAAGAAGATAGATAAGAAGAAAGATAAGAAGATAGATAAGAAGATAGATAAGAAGATAGATAAGAAGATAGATAAGAAGATAGATAAGAAGATAAATAGGAAGATAGATAGGAAGATAGATAAGAAGATAGATAAGAAGATAGATAAGAAGAAAGATAAGAAGATAGATAAGAAGATAGATAAGAAGATAGATAAGAAGATAGATAAGAAGATAGATAAGAAGATAGATAAGAAGATAGATAAGAAGATAGATAAGAAGAAAGATACGAAGATAGATAAGATAGATAAGAAGAAAGATATGAAGATAGATAAGAAGAAAGATACGAAGATAGATAAGAAGAAAGATACGAAGATAGATAAGATAGATAAGAAGAAAGATACGAAGATAGATAAGAAGAAAGATACGAAGATAGATAAGAAGAAAGATACGAAGATAGATAAGATAGATAAGATATATTTTATAGATAAGATAGATACGATAGATAAGATAGATAAGATAGATAAGATAGATAAGATGGATAAGATGGATAAGATGGATAAGATGGATAAGATAGATAAGATAGATAAGATAGATAGGATAGATAAGATAAATAAGATAGATAGGCCAGATAGGATAGATAGGAAGGATAGATGGATAGATAGATTAGATAAATAGATAGATTAGATAGATAAGATTAGATAGATAGACAGATAGACAGATAGATAGATAGATAGATAGATAGATAGATCGCCGGAAAGATAGATAGATAGATAGATAGATAGACAGACAGACAGATAGATAGATAGATCGCCGGAAAGATAGATAGATAGATAGATAGATAGATAGATCGCCGGAAAGATAGATAGATAGATAGACAGACAGACAGACAGATAGATAGATATATAGGTATATAGATAGATAGATAGATAGATAGATAGAAAGATAGATAGATAGATAGACAGATAGATAGATAGAAAGAAAGAAAGATAGATAGATAGATAGAATGAATGAATGGATAAGATAAGAAAAGATAAGAGAAGATAAGATTAAGATAAGAAAGGATAGGATAAGATAAGATAAGATAAGAAAGAATAAGATAAGATAAGATAAGATAAGCTAGATAAGGTAAGATAAGATAAGATCAGATAAGATAGACAGATAGATACATAGATAGATAGGTAGATAGATAGATAGATTAGGACAGAATAGGACAGAATAGGACAGAAGAGGACAGATAGACAGACAGACAGACAGACAAATAGATAGTGGTAGATAGTGGGAGATAGTGGTAGGTAGTGGTAGATAGTGGTAGATAGTGGGAGATAGTGGGAGATAGTGGGAGATAGTGGCAGGTAGTGGCAGATAGTGGTAGGTACTGTAGTGGTAGATAGTGGGAGATAGTGGGAGATAGTGGTAGATAGTGGTAGATAGTGGTAGATAGATGTATAGGTGGGTAAGGGGCTAGTT